GCTTCTAGAACAGCTGGCACCAATCCCTTCCAATCTTGAGGGATCACCCTACGCTGTGTAGCCCAGTTATTTAGCATTTCTTTGACAAAGGAAGAATGTAAGCTGTACACTACACTTGCCTCTTTAAAATGCTTTACATCTGACATTTGTATCAGTCTCCAGGTCAATTCACTACAAGCCTGACCACCATCATTAGCAGGTATACGGTGCACAAAGACTGGGAAGGCCGAAGGTGCCTGTGTAGGCCCAAGCAAAGTCTCTGGTGGTGGACTCTGTACACTAACCTGTTGTACTGTGCCATTTGTTGCTCTAGCAGGCCTCTCTCAGCAGGGCGAGGCTGCAGTTTACCTTCCACACTAGTTTGCTTCCAGCTTTCCTCATGCTGTTCATTCCTGATCTCATTTCCCAAGCTGGAACTTTTGTCTCCTCCCAGTGGCCCTTTTCCTTTCCAAATACTTCTGCTTCTCTCCGCAGAGTCTCTAAATGCAAAGCCAACTCTGTAATCTTCTCCAACGGATGAGAATCCTCGGTTTCCCCATTAAACTTTTTCAAAATAGTATACATGAAAACTATAAAACAAAACAGAAAAACCCCGGCTGGGAGCAAGGCAGGATTCCTCCCAGGGGCAGTACCTGCCATTTTGCCAATCTCCTTAAGCAACAGGGCCAGCCCTGTTTCCTCTACATAATCTGCCATTTCCTCTGCATGAGAAGCAGGGTTACCCAGTATGCCTAAGCCACATTGTAACTAGGTTTTTTCATTCCCTGTAGAAACATGAGCATAACCACATCCCCATCTTAAAACTGCTGCACGTTTTCAACCTAATGTCAGTGCATCCTTGTAGTATCCTGGTTGGCCTAGGTCCTCAGTTTCTTTGATACCCACTGTCTCTCAGCTGCTGTTGGTACCTCTTCACCAACATTAAGAAAATCTAGAGTTAACAAAGCATTACTTACTCCCTCCCTGGGGCTTTTTAATCCTATTTCTATCAGCCTGCTGCTTCCCACCTCAGTCAGCCCAACGCTGGACGACTTGCATGGAAATGTCACATGAACCCTTCAAGTTCTCCAAATGGATAGTTAAAACTGTATCCGGTCTCCCTCAGCCTTGCTCCCTGCTCCACACCCTTCTGGGTATGCTTGATAATAAACAGACTCAGCCCCAGAGTTGTCTTCTACGAACCAAGCTCAGTGGGCAGTTTTCTTTCTCTAAAGCAGATGCCTGGGCAAGGAGAGCTCATGAGGACAAAGGACTTTATTTTTGCTCATGTGTTATTGTGTTTTTAACTCACACTTCTAGATGATTCTGTCCCTGATTGACAGGCCTCATTGTTCCAGGTCTGTGGTGAGACATGTCATCATGGCAGGATGGTATGGCAGACAAAAGCACTCACTAAAGCATGGTGCTGGTGGTACTCACCTGTAATCCCAGCACTAGGGAGGCAGAGGCAGGTGGATCTCTGAGTTCAAGGTCAGCCTTGTCTATAGAACAAGTATTGGGCCAGTTAAGGCTACACAAAGAAACTTCTGTCTTGAAAAACTTTGGCAACCCAAAAAACAAAATGCTCATCTAAGGACCAGGAAGGGAAAGGGAAAAGGAAAAGGAAAAGGAAAAGGGTCGAGTTCCCATAATTCCTCTTAGAGGTTATGATCCTGTTCTCCTCTCAAACCCATCCTCCCATCTTCCATGTCCAGAAGACATGTTGCTGGGCTTCACCTCTTGGATACCCCACTGTCTGTTTACCTCTATTATCAAATTGGGGACCAGGGCTCTAACTCGAGGCCCAGGGAGGACATTGCAAATCTCAAGTGTAGTGCTGATCTTTGATTGACACCGTGATAATCAGGACACTAACAAAACCAGGAACAGATCCAAACCGGAGACAACCTACAGGTTTAACATCACCAGATAAATGGTTGTCCATGTGATGGAAAGAGAAACAGGCAGCTGAAACACACCTGACACAGAAGGAAATATCTGCTCTGCTTTTAGCTTAACAAACAAGATCCAGAGTCCTTCATTTAAAGAGGATGTGTGCACAGATTCAAGACAGCCACTTCAGGGAACTGGCGGGGTTTGCAGAATGAAGTAGAAACATGTTCTGAAGACAGAATGTGTCCAGAAAGCCAGGCCAGGATGGCAGGCAGCATTGGGGTTGGCCTCTGTCTGTCTTCCTCATGAGGCTCTTGGCTTAGGATACATCACAAAATGCTCTCATCCCTGGTCCATTACCCAAATACCACTCATGTCTGTTACTTGTAGCAACTGAATTATGAACATAAGGGAAGGGTGCATGTTAGTGACTGGCTTTTATTGTAGCAATCTTTTAAAAAGATTATCTTTCAGTAAGCTGTGGTGTTGGGGGCTATGGCAATTTAACTTAACTGACAGTGAGAAGTATGAGCCTCTCTGATACCCAGGCTACCTTGAGGGGAGGACCATCAGCTAAACAGAAGCTGTAGGTGACCAGAGCTGTTTGTCAAGTCCAGTTATTGGTGCAAGTAAGACTCAAAGAACTTGTCCACATGTCTTGCCATCTTAAGCCCCAATGAATCCTGGCAACCATTTTCACCCTTGTCAGAGGGAGAACACTTCCACAGCGGGCTCAGAAGACAGCATGTGACTGGTGCACAAACAGCCTACAGTTTACATGAAGAAATATGTAGTGTTTGGCCAAAACACCTTTGCTATGCCCTCTTTCTGGCTAAGGAAACAGGCTATTTGGGTCAGTCTTCTAGTTGTCAAGGAGAAACCCTAGCAGGAAACCCCTGATGTTGCAAACTTAGGCCCAGTTAAAGGTTTCACCCGATGTCCTTTTCTTTGAGTGCTCTTGATTGTCATCAACAGTAAAGCAGGCTGCACTGGCAACGTGACCGGGAGACAGTGCCTCAGCAGGGGCAAGAGGACAGTTTAGTGATTCCAAAGAGTGGCCAGGCAAGGGTGGCAGGAGGCAGAGGTGGCACAGGTAACAGAAGGACACCTCATTGCAGGAAAGCCTGTGAAATGCCAGGGTAAAGGGCTGCACGCAAGCCATGGTCACAGCAGGAGTCACATGGAGCTGCTAAGCCATACGGGGCAAGGGTCTGGACACCTGAGGCTTGAGATTGATGACAGTAGCCAGCACTCACCCCTGCAGTTGCTTCCAGGAGCTCAGGATTACACAAGCCGATGGGTGCCAGGCTGTTAGCAATCAAATCCCAGAGCCACAGTCCCCTCCAATCTGAGCACCCCAAAGCAAAAATCAGTCCTCCAGCACCCAGAAACATCAACCCATAGTTCAGGACTTCAGCTAGGGTGCAGGCTCTTTCTTGACTTGCCAACTCATGGTTTCTATCTGAAACAGAGCGCAGGAGGCCTCGCTAGCTGATGGGTAGTGTTAGTCAGATGCTGTGGACTCAGGGTAGGAGTGTGCTGGGAGGTTAATGATGAGACATGGACAATTCTTGGAAATATAAAGGCAGGAAATAAAGGAAGATGCAAGGCCTAAGACAAAACAGCAAACTGTTCTTTCTGGTCAACCCCTCACCCCAACATTCTAAAAATGAGGAAGTCATCAGAGCTCCCAGAAAGAGGAATGGGAGAAGGCACGCCCTTGAGGACAAGTGCAAAGTTAGCCCCAAACCCAGCTCCACGCCCACAACCTCTTGACATGTGCCAATCAGCATCCACTCAGTATTACTTACCCTTGAGAGTTGAAATAGGATGTCCCACAACACAGACCAGTGGGCACAAAACCCAGCAAGGCTCTGTCAAGTGCACTAGTGGCATCTGCTTGGTCCCTCCCTCACCAACCCTCCAGGATATCATTCTCCACCCTCACTGAGTTCCCGCCTCTGCTCATTGCTGCACAGGGAAGCCAAGACTTCACACAGGTAACTGGGCCAGGGTTGCCAGGGAGACCAGTGGGACAGGGAATGTGTAAGAAGCTTCAGAGAGAGGGAGGACTTTGGGCTTTGATGACCTTAAGGGGAAAGAGATACAAGAGGAGAGTGTGGGATGTAGTTTCCTTTGGGTGAGCTCTAGATTGGATTATGGATGCCTCAATCCCAAGGGAGACAAAGACCCAGATACAGCCCCAGCTCTGGCTCCACTACGGCCAAGCATCCCCCCTAACACCAGCCCTACGCTGCTCTCAGCTTCAGCACCAAGTCCAGTTTGGGTGTTTGATTTAGCCCTGATTGGAAATCAAATTGAACCATATTCTCCTCCCAGATTCACTGCAGTTCCTCCCGTGGCTCCAGTCTGAGTGTAGGTGTCAGTCCCAGAAGAGGCACAGCCTCAAGCCCTGGCCCATGGTAGACCTAGCAATAGCAGGCACTTCAGCTTTTGATATTACCTCCAAATTCTAAACTCAACTGAACCATGGTACTACCCCAACCCTGACCCCATTTCTAATTCAATTGCATGCTAGCCCCCATTTTAGTTTTTCAATTTGCTTTCTTTTTTCTTCTTCTCCTCCTCCTCTTCTTCTTCTCCTTCTTCCCTTCTTTTTCTTCTTCCTCCTCCTCTTCCTCCTCCTTCTTTCCCCCCCCCTCTCTCTCCCTCTCTCTCTTTCCCTCTGGAGCTGAGGACTGAAGCCAGGTCCTTGTGCTTGCAAGGCAACACCTCAACACCACTGAGCTAAATCTACACATCTTTCATTTTTCAGTTTTAATAATTTATTTATTTAATGTGTGAGAGTTTTGCCTGAATGTGCATGTGTGCTCGTGTGTGCCTGTTGTACACAGAGGTAAGAAGAGGGTATTGGATCTTCTGGAAATAGAGTTATGAATGGTTATGAAGCACCAGGTAGATACTGGAATGGAACCCGGATCCTCTGAAAAAGCAACAATTGCTCCTAACCGCTGAGCCCTCTCCCCAGCCCTCTCCAGGCCTCCTCATTCTTGCTCTAACATGGGACATATCTGACCCCAGTTCCAGGCTTTAACTCAGCTCCACACTGCTCCTAGCACTGTCTTTGGTCCCAGCTCTGTGTCCGTCTGGATCCTGGTGTCTCAGTTCAGTGCCGACAGCCCCAGAGGCCTCGTGTTTGCCAAGCATGACAATGACATATGAAAATTTCCAGAACTTGGGAAGCCAGGAGAAAAACCAAGAGCCTGGTAAAGGTGAGAAAAGAGTAGACCCTGCTCTCTCAGCATCCTCATGTGTCCACCGTCTGTGTGTCCACCCTGGACTGAGCTGTGTGCTTGTTTCTGGTGGATGCTGGACTCAGCAGCGACAGCCTGTAGTGAAGAGGATACAAGGTCCTCAGGAAGACCGGGCCGAGGAAGACCTCAGGGACTCTCCTTCCTGTGCTCTATAGGGGGACAAGAAGTGTGCAATGCAGGGAGCTGGAGTTGGAGGGGCGCGCATTTATGTCACTCTGCAGAAAAGTGAGAACCTGTTAGGAACCTGCCAGCCCCTATCTGTGTCCTCCCTTCTCTCCAAAACCAGCTTTGATCGCAAGACCTTACCATGTGCTTTTTTCTGATTGGGCATTCAACACGTCCTCAGAGCCATGAGAGGTCTAACATACTGCAGATTTCCAATGCATTGGAGGTGTCAAATGCATGGGCACTTGCAGCTCCATATTTTTCTAGCTATGCCCCATACACTCGCAGTGACAAGCCTTCACTCTCTGCTTCTGCAGCCCCGTCCTTCCCCTTCTCCCTCTTAGAGTCTGGATCCCGAGTCGTGACACTCCCTTCTCTCTCAGCAGCTCTTCCTCAGTCCTTCCTGTGCAACATCCTCTCCTGGACCCACCTCCTCCTGTTCTCCCTGGGCCTCAGCCTCCTGCTGCTGGTGGTTGTCTCCGTGATTGGATCCCAAAGTAGGTTGCAGGGAAGAGGGGAATGAAAGGATGGGGGCGGGGATGGAGGGAGAGAACTTTAGCAGGGCAGTGATTGGTGCAGAGGGCACAGATGGACAGCAGCGAGGGCCACGGCGAGGACAAGTATAAAGGAGCACAAGGGACAGTGACTTGATAATAGTTGATAGCAGTGGTGGGGACACTGGTGGGGACATGGAGGACCCATGGGCAGACAGCTGCTGGCCGAGTCACCTGTTACTGTCCTTGGGTTCCACAGTCGTGTCACCTCACCCCCTCAGCCTCGGCTTATGCTTGTGCACTATTGGGTAACAACAGTGCCTGCCCACTGGGTCTCTGTGAGGCAGAGTGTCACTCTGTGCAAGGAGCCCGGCCTAGTGCTGGCACAGAATGGACCTGAGAAACCGTGGTTCTCATTATCCTGTCGTCTTCATCAGGTTCCCAGTTAAGGAGAGACCTAGACACCCTGAGAGCCACATTAGACAACACCACCTCCAAGATAAACACTAAATTCGAGGCCTTGGACACCAGGGGTGAGCAGGGCTCTCACCGGGTTCTGGGCTGGAGTGGGCTGGGTAGGGTGGACAGTCCTGAGCTCCAGTTCCTTGTTCTGCAGCTGACAGCTTGCAAGTAGGGATCAGTTCTCTGAAAGTGGAGGTGGAGGATCACAGGCAGGAGCTGGAGACAGGTGAGAGGCCCTGGTCTCCAGAGTTTGCAGAAGGGTGTGGGTGAATGTGGTTCCTGGTGCTGAACTGTTCTCTTCCAGGCCAAGGCTTGAGCCAGAAGGTGGATTCTCTGGTGAGCGAAGTGGAGAAGAGGGAGCAGGCTCTCAAAACAGGTGAAGCTGTGGTTCCCCTGGGCCCTGGCAGGTGGTGTGAGCATGTGCAATGTGTGGCATTGACACGAGGTGTGAGAATATGCAGTGTGTGGCACTGACAGGAGGTGTGAGCATGCACAGTGTGTGGAGATCATCCCAGACTGGGCGTGAAGAGTGGGTGTGAGCATGCGCAGTGTCTGGAGGTGTTCCCAGTCTGAGCCTTGTTCAGGACATCTGAACACCAGCAGATGCCACAGCTTGAGCACTGTTGTCACTGTCATCTGTGTGTCCCAGATCTCTCTGACATAACCGATCGTGTGCAACAGCTGGGGAAGGACTTGAAGGCCCTGACATGCCATCTGGCCAACCTCAAGAACAACAGTGAGAAAGGCGATGGGCATGGCTTGCTCTAGTTTCTTGGGGGTGAGGACACAATAGGCATTGCCTCTGCTCTCCATCTTTGCTTTGCTTTTCTTAGGCTCAGAAGAGGCCTGTTGCCCCCTTCACTGGACGGAGCATGAAGGGAGCTGCTACTGGTTTTCTCAGTCTGGGAAGTCATGGCCTGAAGCTGACAAGTACTGCAGGCTGGAGAATTCTCACCTGGTGGTCGTCAACTCCCTGGAGGAGCAGGTGATGCCCGGGTAGGCTCTTTTTGGGAGGCTACCTGGTCTGAGGGAGAGGTTACCATGCCTTTTTCTTTCTTTAGAATTTTCTGCAGACTCTCTTAGCCAATCAGATCAGTTGGATCGGCCTAACAGACCAAAATGGGCCCTGGCGATGGGTGGATGGGACCGACTTTGAGAAAGGCTTTAAGTGAGTGTGTGTCATATTTGCCCTGCTCTAGTGCCTTTGCCTGGAAGTTCCTCTACTTCCAAGGCTCTGGACCTGGGGTGGGTGAGTCAGGGGGGGTATGTCTTAGAGTCTGGTTTCTGGAGGCCCACATCTGTATTTGTTCATAGGTACTGGGCCCCAGAGCAGCCGGATAACTGGTATGGACATGGACTGGGAGGGGGTGAAGACTGTGTCCACTTCACCTCAGATGGCCGCTGGAACGATAATGTCTGTCAGAGGCCTTACCGCTGGATCTGTGAGATAAATGCTGGCCAAGGATAACTAGGATAACCAAGGAATTTATTTCTTCAGTGGTTTCAGCTGATCAGGCCTGGAGTTTGGAATCCTCCTACCTGATCTCAACATTATTGGAGATTTTCTTTTTTGGTCAAGAAATTTAAGACAAGGAGAAGGTGTTGTGTTTCAGCAGGATAGTGTGGTATTTGGGAGAACGAGACTGCCGAAATCTGTGATATTTTGTACAGTGTGAAGCTTATTGTAGGCAAGTTCTGAATGTAGAAAAAATTAAATACTTGTTGTTGATTTTGCCTTGTTTCATTTCTATCAAAGTTGGGTAATAAGATGAAAACCTATACAGACCACAATCTGACATGTATCCTCTTTGACTGAGTAAAAGCAATTTCAAAATGTGAGAGGATGCCCAGGTATCCCCAAAAATTTTATAGAAGACACATTAATCAAAGCTCTGGTTGAGTTCCTGCCAACTCCGTGTTCAGTAACTGTGGGGTCTATTATCACATTGTAAAGAAAACTGTGGGTCTAGGATGATGGTGTCTCATGCCTGTAATTTCAGTCCTTGGAAGGCAGATGCAGGAGGGCCATCTGTGGGCTACACAGTAAGGTCCAGGTCAACTAGAGCTGTACAGTGAGAAACCATCTCAAAACTAAAAGAAGAGGAGCCTTTGTAAATCATCTTGGGAAAAGGAAAAGCAGAGAGTTGTCAGTTCCATGTTCAAATCACTGGAAGAAGATGGTGGAGGATGTACATTTTATGAACTGTGTTCTGGTTGGTGTGACTGCTCAGCAGGCAAAGGGGCCTGCTGCCAAGTTTGCAGACCTAAGTGTGATCCCTGGCACCCACATGGTGAAAGGAGAGAACCAACTCATCCATGTTGGCCTCTGTCTACACACACACACACACACACATGCACAGGCACACAGACACACACACACATAGATACCCACACACACAGACACAGACACAGACACACACAGACACACACACATTCACACACACACACACACACACACACACACACACACACACTGTTCTGACTGAGAATCTGAAGAGCTTTCTCTACTTCTCCATGCCTCTAAAGGCTCTACGTTCTATAGGCACAGTTAAGAATCCATAGTTGCAAACCCATTTTTCAGACTTAATTTTTTATGGTATTTTGTTTTGCAACAGGGTCTCTCTACATAGCCCTGGATAACCTTGAACTCGATGTGTAGACCAAGCCGGATATCTACCTGCCTCTGCCTCTTGAATACTGGTATTAAAACTGTGTGCCTCCATGCCTGGATGATTTCATTCACACTTTTAAATGCTGCTACCTCTCCAGTTCTTATAGACGCTTTTTAATATCATGTGATCCCATGTCTGTCCCTGGTGTTATCTAATAGGCTGTTGTTTTATTTTGGGGTAGTCAAGTGCCTGTTTATATATCTTTGCATTGTGTATATACAGTTCAAATAGAGGCCAGAAGAGGGAGCCAAATCCCCTGGGACCGGAACTACAAGTAGTGGGTAACCGCCATGTGGGAGGTGGGCATGGAAACCTGGTCTTCCACAAATTAGCCATTGCTCTTAGCAGTCATCTCTCCAGCCCCTATTTTTTTTTTCGTTTGAAGATATTATCAATGGATTTCCCCTGATTTCTTTCTCTGAATGTCTATCATTGGCATAGAAAGACTACTTGGTTTTGTGTGCTGATTTAATGTTCTACTACTTTACTAAAATTGTATATGTTGCAATAATTAAGAAAAACTATGTGGGGCTGGAGAGATGACCCAGAATTTAAGAACAGAGAACCCAGGTTCAAGTCCCAGCGTCCACAGGGCAGCTCCCAGCCCTCTGGAATTCCCGTTCCAAGAGATCCACCGCCCTCTTCTGGCCTCCAAAGGCACTGCATGCACATGGTACATAGACACAACAAACAGGCAAAACATACACACATGTAAAATGAAGATTAAAAGAATAAATTTTTAAATAAAAAATACTTGAAGATTCTGAGTTGTTTGGTTACTGTGAGTTAGGAGCGCTGGTTGCATTAAAAACGTTGGGTATCCAGTAGCACTGTGAGAAGAGAATCGGGACCTGGCTTTGTCCTGCACAGGCGGGAGTGTGGGCAGGTTACTCTGTTCTGGGGTCTCAGTGCTCAAACGAACTGAGCCGGGCAACATCAGTGCTTCAGAAATCCTTGAGCCAAATGTGCTGCTGGGCGGCACCCCTCAGAACAAGCAGACCTTGTATTCAGAGACAGGTTGCAAATCCCATGAGCAAACAGCCAGAGACACTAAGACTGCAAGGGAAAGCACCGCTTTAATGATTTGGAATTAAAGTTCTTTTTAATTAGCATACATAATATTAGACCTCATTATGGAATCTTCAAACAAGATTTTTCTTTCCCTCCCTCCCCACCCCTGGCAACACCCCCCCCCCCCAGGCCTTCTCTCCCTGCCCCCACCCCTTTGTGCTCTTCTAACCTGCCCAGAGTGGTCTTTCTACTCCTGTGTCTCATGTTCTATGGCCCGCCCAACTCCCACCCTCTTTGTCCCGTCTTCTGGTCTCCTTCCTAATTCAGGATCTATATCCATACCTATTTATTATATACAAATGTATTGACTTTATGAGCTAGCATCTTCATGTGAAAGAGAACACACGATTTTGTTTTTTCTGAGTCTAGGTCACCTCCTCGAATGCATTATCTTCCCAACCCATTCAGCTTTCTGCAAATTTCCTGATTTCTTTGTCTTTATAAAGGAGAAGAAGTCCACCGTGCATACATATATGTTTTCATTATCCTGACATCAATTGGTGAACAGATGGAATGGTTCCATTTCCTTACTGTTGTGAATAAGGCAGCAGTTAACGTGGATTTCGATCAGGAACCTCTGTGGTGGCATGTAAGGATATAGAGAGTCCTCTGACTTATACGTCCTGAGTGAGAGCCCTGGATCATATAGAACGTTAGGACCTCGGTAAGGTATTAAGGCCCAAGGAACTGTTACCTGTCTAGCCTGCCATCAAGGCAACATTCTCATATGTTTCTGCTGTTACTAGGAAACTTTCTAATGCCAAGATTGATTACATATTCTGTTATGTTCTGTGCCCTTGGAAACCTGTCATGATAGAGGTCAGTAGAACTGTTCTGTGCAGTTCCCCACAATAAGCTTGGACCCGAATCAACAACCCAGCAGCACTTCCTGCACCTCTGTATAAGCTTTTATGGTATTTGCCTTTATAAACGCCCCTGGGATGGACCCAGCAATAGAGAGACGCCTGTCTCAATATAAGAAACTATTTGGAAACAGACTTCCATTTTGAGTGTGGTCAGATAAAGTTTAAGTTTTCAGTACCTCCTTGGGAACTCACATCCTACTTGGCAGAAAGAGACATGGATGTGGGTAACTGGCATCATGGTTGGCAAGTTGACATGACTGTTAGACAAGTCTCATCCTGGTAGACAAGTTAGGACATGAATATTAGACAAGTCCCCTGCCAGAGCTGAATACTCCAACCAATGGCAGCAGGATAAGTGTACAACAGAGACATGTTCCTAAGGGAATCCCCTGTCCCTAAATCCTGATCAGTGAATAACTTGGCACATATGTCTGTGGATTTGGGGCTTTAAAACCCTGAAGGATCTTAACTCCTTTCCCAAATCTGGACTGTGGCCCTGGTCGACCAGACCTCAATAAACTATGCTCAGTAAACTATCCCTGTCTAACTGAGACTGGTTCTCATGTGCTTTGTGAGGTGGTTCCTGAACCCCAACACGGAAGTTCTATTTTTTATTTTGGGGGGGGGGCACTTCCATGAGTTGACACCCTGATAAGGTGCCTTAAGTAGGATTTCCATTGTTGTGATAAAACACCATGCCCAAAATCAATTTGGGGAGGGGAGGGTTGATTTGGTGTGACAACTCTCAGTTCACACTCCATCCCTGGAGGAAGTCAGGGCAGGAGCTCAAGGCAGGAAGCTGGAGGCAGGAAGCCATGGAGGAGTGCTGCTTACTGGCTTGCTCCTCGAGGCTTGTTCGACCTGCTTTCTTATACAATCCAGGACGGCCTCCCCAGGGTTGGCATTGTCCACAGTGAGCTGGGCCTCCCCCCAACCCCCGACATCAATCATTAATCAAGAAAATGTCCAGCCAGGACTTCACCAGCATTTGCTGTTGTCTCTTTTCTTCCACACACCCACCCCAACTATGTAGACCAGGCTATCCTAGAACTCACTATGTAGACCAAGCTAGCTTTGGATTCACAGTGATCAGTCTGCCTCTGTTTCAGGAGTGCTGAGATTGAAGATGTGTGCTGCCATTGTCTGGCCTCTTTTCTTGATACAGCCTTTCTGATGGCAGCTCTCATTTGCTCATTTGTTGATTGACAATTTTATTTTGTGTTAGTTTCAACTTTGGTAGTTAAACAGATAAGATCTATGTGAGATATTAACCCCTTGTTTGGAGTTTAGTTGGTAAAGATTTTCTCTTGTTCTGTGAAACGGTCTGTTTGCTCTGCAACCCAAGTGGTTTCCTTTGCTGTGAAGAAACATTTTAATTTTATGCAATCCCATTTATTAATTCTTGGGGTATTTCCTGAGCTATAGGAATCTTCTTTGGAAATCATTTGCCTATATATGTATCTCAAAGTGTTCTCTCTGTTTTCCTGTAGCAATCTCAGTGCTTCTGCCTTTAATTTAAATTTGATCCACTTTGAATTGACTCCTGTGCACGGTGAAGGACCAGGTGTGACTTTTCTCTTCTAAAGGTGGAGACCCAATTTTGCCAGCACCATTTATTGAGTAGGCTGCTCTTTGTAGCATATAATTTTTGCAAATAATTAGGAAACATAGCTGTGTGGGTTTATTTCTGATCCCTTCGTTCTGCTTCACCAGTCTGTATGTCTATTTTCAAGGCAGCATGGTGCTGTCTTTATCACGGTAGCTCTTAGTATAATTTGAGAGCAGATATAGTGACACCTCCTGCTGTGTTCTTTCTGTTAAGGAAGGGAAACACCAATATTAACAGAATCAACACCCAAGGATAGGCTTGAAGGTAAACCAACCAGATCATACAGATCTTACAGGATTATTAACAGAGCAGGGCAAGTATTTGCCTGTGAGTAAGATTTCAGCTAATAACAAAAAGGGACGAAATCAACTGTAGTACAACAGAAATAAACGGGAAAGTACATCTTTTAAAAGCTGGAAATGATATACATTGTCTTGCCATCTGTCTAGGTAATTCTGAGCTTAAGAGAAGATTAAAAAAAAAAAGAAAATCTCAGTGGTCTAGATATGAACAG